CTGTTGTATTCTGGGGCTGGAGGAAAAAACAAACAACCAACACTTCATAACATTTGTATGGCCTTCGTGTCTTGTTTTAGTAAGAGTTTTACGGCACTTGCAACACGATAAGGTCATATAAGTGCCGAAGATTAGAGGTGTTACAAGAGAGTAACAAACACAAAAAAGGAGGAGAGATAAGGACGATAGAAGTTAGATAGGAAAAAAGAAGCAAACCGCACCAGAGGACCCGCCAACCACCCTTTTTGTGTCTTGACAGACGGCCCTGAAGCAATAATGCACAATACCACTTTGCATTGGCAGTGGCGTGGGATGGATACAAAAAATTGGGTGGGGTTCAGAAATGAGGGCAGATAATCCATGCTGTTGGAATTGGTATAAGCAGTTATAATGTACCAATATTGTTGCATATCTGTACAAGATAAGAAGAGTGAAGGAAATTGCTCAATACCAATTGTGTTGAGCTATTTTCTTGGTATTCTTATCTTATGATAAAAAGAATTATGTTCATTTGAGTAGAATAATAAAAACTGACCCTGCATCACGGCCATGAACTATGAACCCCACAAAGAAGAGACCCCCCCCCCCTTGCACATAACACTCCATACTACTGCACACGTACGTATCACCCATACGGCCCTCGGAGGGGTGAACTAATTTTAGTAAGCTTAAGTTTTAGTAACCGTTTTACGATACTTGCGACACAAATAGGTCTTATAAGTGCCGAAGATTAGAGGTGTTACAAGAGAGTAACAAACACAAAAAGAAGGTGGAGAGATCAGGATGATAGATGTTTGATAGGAAAGAAGGAACAAACCACACCTGAGCACTCGCCAACCACCCACCGTGCCGAAGACAAGAGTTTTTTTAAAGAGTGGAACAAACAAAGAAAAGAAGGAGGAGAAATGAAAACGGCAGATTTTTTTTTTTTAGAAAAGAGGAGCTCACCACACCAGAGCACTCGCAAAGAATCCACGAGCTTTTTTAAAAACACACACAATTAACATTCTATGGAAAGGAGAAGAAATCCAGCAAACCATCTCTTCACCTCTGTATTGGAGGCACAGACGTTGCGGAAAATGGAAAGACTTCTTAGTCCAAAACACAGTCTCAAAACGTTTATATTAGAGAGATAAAATGTTTAGCCTTGAACTCTGAAAAACATTCAAACATTTTTACAACAGAAAAAGACAGATCTCATGTCGTACCGCGACCATTTTCACAACGGTAACAAAACATTATTTTCGAAAAGAACTCTTGTTGCATACCAAGATTGATCGACAGATAGATAGATAGAGAGAGGACGGGTGAGAAAGGATGTGGCAAGCACACACATCCAGAGAGAGAGAGAGAGAGA